TTCAACTTATCATTGCACCAGGTCTGATATAATTTTTGCACGTAAGACCCTTCCTTTTTGTTGACAAGCGTTTTACTCGGTGGTTGAGGTGATAGGAATTCAGGCAAATTCTAGCAGAGGCGGCGGCAGGGAATATTTTTGAGTGCTGGGCTACTCACGTGAAAAATACTGCTGTGCTGTTGGGAAGGGCACGGCGTGCCGCGAAAATAAACTGCATGTTGTCTTCGAATTCAGAAGAGCTGGATTTCATATTTACCGATATCTATTTTGGCCAGCAGAACATTACCACAACCGCGTGAGAAATCTCGCGCCATTTTTCCTAGTAATACGTAAATATGCACAGCTGATAAACCAATCAGAGCGCAGGTTTTCGGCGGTGAGTGGCGGAAAATGTGTGTTACCAGCGGTTTTAAGGTAGAATTTGCTGGCTTTTCCTTACATCTAGAGAAAATACACTAGAATTTCAGCATTATTTTTTGGGGGGGAGGGGGCGAGAGACGTCGACCGAGCGCGTAACTTTGTCTTCTCCTTTCCAACTACAGTACCGTTGAGAGGTTGAGAGAATAATGGCGACCAAACTGAAGTCAGCGAGTGGAGGCAGCAATGGCGCACCAAGGGAGTCGAACATCCAGGTTATGGTTCGAGTAAGGTACGGACAAACACTGATTCCTGTAGATTTTAATTTCCTCTAGTGGAGGCAATTTATTTCCCACAACTTGATGTCAACCGCGTTTTGGTGCATGGCAGTCCACTCGGTAACCGTGAGCGGTCGTAGGGGCATCATGACAGCCAGCAGCATGTCTGAACTTGAATTTTTACCTGAATTTACCTGAACTGCAGAGATATCGTCTTGTCTCCGCAGTCAGGAGCTTGATGGCGGGTAGCCTCTGGTCGCTCCTGCGTGTAATACGGTCTTGATGTGTAGGTCTATGCTACTCTTGAACCCGTTCACACTGGTTTGCTCGGCACAACTTCTTGGGGTAGTTGGTTCCCGGTGCAGAGATTGTTCGTACTGCAAATGACTTTTTCCGGATTTCTAGTCTTGTTTTAGGTATTTTTAGTCTCAAACTGTGGCCTCTTGTATTGTAGGGGGTGTCAAGCGGTTGGAAAAGTATGTCCTTGTCGATACCCTCTAGTCCCTTTACAATTTTGAATTTTGAATTTTGAATACTTCCAGCATGTCCCCTCGGAATCTTCTGATTGCGAGGCTTGTTAGTCCCATTTTCTTGAGTCCTTGTGTGTAAGGCAGTTCTTGCAGTACTTGCCATGATGTTT